GACTTGTCTGCGGTCACAGGGCTAGCAAGTGGCTCCACAGGATTGGGACCAAGTATGTCCGGCTCTCACTTCGGAAGTGTGGATGGACAGAGACAGTCAGGGATTCCTTCACACCTTATCCTCTTCTCGGACAGTCACGGTGCGCACACGGTGTCACACGCCCTGCAGAGTTCTGCCCCCTCCCTGCCTAATAGGGATCAGCGCAGTCTCCCAGCACTGCTAATGAAACCTGACCTTAGGGGGCACGTCCCAGTCAGTGCCTGCCCCGTATCTGCATGAGAGGGAAGGTGGTGACCACCCTGGACAGAGGCCAGGCTTCCTTGGGGCTTCTGAATGTGTGTTCGCGTTGGCTCTGGGTCCGGGGCCCTCAGACTGCAGCCAGGCTCGGCCGTGTAGAGGCGGGGGCTCAACTGTGGCACGGCCGTCCCTACTTTTGGAGTTGCCATCTTAATGGGACCTCTGTCGGAGTTGTCTGTAGGCTTTAGAGAGCAGGATTCCGGGTTATTTTAGATACGGAGGTTTAGTTGATTTAAATTGTTGATACGTTGATTGATGTAAAGATGGGATATAAGATTGTTGTCAGAGGAATTACACAATATTGACCGAAGCGTGTGGAGTAAGCATTGAATTGTGCCCTCTGCCTGGTAGCGGGAGCCGCTCTGGAGTTGGAAGCGTGTCTTTTCCTGTGTATATACATTCTAATCATTCTATATGTGGGGCTCTGTGACTTGGTTTTCATTCTAACGTGTTATAAGCATCTTTTGATGTCAGTGTGTGTTTAGATCTAACTTAGTCTCTTTGATGGCTCGTAGATGGATATTTATGTGGTTGCTGCACTGTTTATAACAGCCCATAATTGGCATCCAACAGTTATTATACATATATTTTGTAGACTTTTGTAAGTATCTCTAGTGGATAAATTCCAAGAAGTAGACTTGCTGGGTCGGTGGACGTGCACATTTAAAAAATCATTAGGTTTGCTGTCAAATTGCTCCAAAAACGTCCCAGTTCATTTTCCTAATTAGAGTTTATGAGGGTGTGCATTTCCCTTTACCCTGCTCCAGTGCTGTAGAGATTCAGTCTAGTTCATTTTTGTCAATGTGGTAGGGGAAAGTTGTTGCTTCAATTTACATTGCTGCATAAATGAGTACAGCCTGGTACAGACATAATCAAAACTTGTATATACACCCTGGGCACTTGAAGAGAAAATATAATCTTATTTTTGTTGTCTAAAAACGCTCGTGTATATAAATGCTGTATTTAGAACTTTCCATCTGTATACGTTATTCTCTATGCCTTATTTAGGGTATATTAACTCAGTTGAGTTATTTGAATCAGTATAGCTTTACACTTTTATTTTTGCTTGATTTCAGGGAAGACTGTCAAATGTTCTT